TTAAACTTATTTGATAAGTTGTTCAATTTAGAATTCAAATTAATTTAAGTTTGACTTAAATTGGAATTTGAATTTGAAATAAAATTGGACTACAGGATAAAGGATGATTTTCTCTTCCTTCCCTATCCAGTATTGGCGCCACACACAGGGATAGGAATCCCATCTTGGCCGGCCACACTAAGGGATAAGGGAATAAGAGATTTTGTTTAAAATTCAAATAGGAGATAATTAACAAGGTTTATCTTAGAGATAGATATTGGATTATTTCTAGAAGTTTGACTTCTACTCTATAAATACTATTTTTGAGACAATTTTCGGAATTGTTTTTTTTACCCTAATTTTAGAGGTGGCCGAAATTTCTCTATAGAAAGAAGGAAACATTTTTTCTCCAAAAATTTCACATCGTGCATGAGATGGTGTTTGTGGAAATTCGAGTGTTTATTGTAACCTATTTTGTCTCATGTGTGCTCACACACACGTCTTCGTGGATTCTAGGAATTGACGTGGAAGACATTGGTTTTCTAAACACAAAGATTGGAGCAAGGACTGTTCGTGGTCAAAGAACTCAAGTTATCATCCGAGTCGGCTTCCAGGTATTTTTCCTGATTGAGTTCTTAATAAATGAATTAATGAGATTAATTTATTCGTGCATAAATTAATATAATCTATAGAGTATCTCAAAAGTTTTATGAAAATTTTTATTATACACGATCCGCCCTTCCCCTCCTATTGCCACGCTTCTGCGTCCGAATTCGATTCGGAGACCAACAATTGGTTTACTTGAAAAAGATGTTGTGGAACCAGAAATAGATGAACAAGGTTTTACCTGATCAAGGTGGAGCTACTCAGACCAATCCTAGCAGTAATGATCATACAAGTCGACAAGATCAGTCCACCATAAGTAATGAACAAGCTCCTACTCAAGAAGAAGCACTCAGAGACTATGTGCTGACTCAGAACAGACGTAGAAGACAGATCAAGCCTCCTCTTAGATTTGCACAATCGGATCTCATTGCATTTGCACTAAATGCAGCAGATGAGGTGGAGCAGATTAAACGTAATACTGTAGCAGAGGCTAAAAAATAGCTCAGAATGGACGCATTGGAAGGCAGCAATGGTTGAGGAAATGAGATCCTTACAGAAGAATGAGACTTGGACCCTGGTGGAGAAACTGAAGAACCAGAAAGTTATTAGGTGTAGTTGGATCTTTAAAAAGAAGGTCGGAGAAACCTAGATTCAAGGCTAGGTTGGTTACTAAGGGTTATTTTCAAGTAGAAGGAATTGACTATCATGAGGTCTTCTCTCCAGTGGTCAAACATACCTTAATCAGAGTTATTTTGGCAATTACAGCCTTGCTAGACTTAAAGCTTGAGTAGATGGATGTTAAAACTACTTTCCTTCATGGCAGTTTGGAGGAACAAATATATGTGGCTCAACCTAAAGAGTTTGAAGTGAGAGGCCAAGAATCCAAAGTCTGCTTACTTAAAAAATCCTTGTATGGACTTAAACAATCTCCTCGATAATGTTATAGGAGATTTGATGAGTTTATGCTCTCTAAAGGGTTTTCAAGAAGCAGATTTGATAGTTGCGTGTATTTTAGAAGATTGACATGCAATGACTTTATCTATTTACTGATTTATGTGGATGATATGCTTATAGCATGTAAAGATCAATTAGAAATCCAGAAGTTGAAGAATGAGCTCAATTCAGAATTCGAAATGAAGGATTTAGGAGGTGCAAGCAGAATTTTAGGGATGGATATTATTAGAGACAGGACCAAGAAGATTATGTTTTTATCTTAGAAGAATTATCTTAATAAGGTCATTTGTACTTTTGGAGTGCACGATCTTATTTCAAACTTGAAGTTGTGAAGGAACAAGATGAGAAGACATAGGCCAAATTCATGAAGAATGTACCTTATTCTAGTGAAGTTGGAAGTGTCATGTATGCTATGGTCAGTTCTAGACCTGACATAGCTTATGGAGTTGGGCTCGTGAGCAGATACATGAGTAGGCCAAGTAGAGTTCATTAGCAGGCGGTAAAGTGGCTGTTGAGGTATCTGAAGGGCACTTCCGAAGTTTGTTTAGTCTACAAAGGTAATCAACATAATAATCACATAGTGGAGGGCTATTGTGACTCGGACTTTGTTGGTGATCTTGACAAAAGAAGATAACTTTCAGGATATGTATTCACTCTTGAGGGAAATACTGTGAGTTGGAAGTCTAGTCTCCAACATGTGATAGCATTGTCATCGACTGAAGTTGAGTATGTTGCTCTAACAGAGGCAGTAAAAGAAGCTTTGTGGTTAAAAGGATTCATCAGTGAGCTGGGGTTTGTGCTGAAGAAATTTTCTATACATTGTGATTCACAAAAAGTGCTATTCATTTGACTAAGAACAATGTGTTTCATGAGAGAACAAAACACATAAATGTGAAACTACGTTTCGTCAGAGATATTCTTGCAAAGCAGCTAGTGGAGATTGTGATGATTTCTACTGAAGTAAACCCAGCAGACTTGCTTACCAAAGTGATTCTTGTAGGCAAGTTCAAGAAAGCCTTGGACTTGCTTAGAATTTTGGTAATGTAACACTAATGAATAAGGGATTCCTAGTTCAATTCAAATCATTTGCAATTGGAGCCAAGGTGGAGATTTGTTACAATTAAGTATGTCTCAAATTGTAAATAAATCAGAAGATATTTCAATTGGAGGTGTAACAGCTAGTTGACTTTAAAACTACAGCTTGGAGACTAATGATGATGTGGCACTGACAGCTGACATTTAAAGACTGACTCTGGTTTATTATATAAGGCTAGTTTGTTAATTGGTTTTGAAAAATGCTTTTGTAACAGACTCATGTGACAAAAGATTTGAGAGAGAAATTCTTGAGAAATTCTGGGTTTTATAATTGGGGTTCTTGGAGCGTTTGTTTCCTGGGAAAATTGGTGAGAAAGTTAGACGTTGTTTTGTGGAGTTCCTGAATGATCTTGTAAAGTTGGAACCAAGTAAATTGCTTGTCTCTTTCTTTGTTTGTGCTTTGATTTCTTGTTTGTTATTTTGTTTACGGTTCTCTAGCCTTTGTTTTCGTGTTCTTGGTGCAGATTAGAGGATAATTCCTACAATAACTTTACTGGACATGGTTTTTTCTTTTTCTTTGGAAAGTGGACATGGTGTTTTTGAGTAATGTTCAATAGTAACAATATTGACTTCCTTACAAGTAATGCTCAATTAATGATTTGCGTTTAGAAGAAGGGCATGAGAAACCTAGAATTAGCAATAAGTAATAAAGATTAATGACAAATACAGAGAAATTAGTAAAACTCACATTTGTCACTATCCACTTCACATCCAAAACCAACATCAAAGAACAAACCAAGTGTAGCTCAAATTTGTCCTTTATTTTGAACTTTGACAATTTGTCACTCGGTTTTTATTCCTTGTACAAACCCATGAAACATAAATATTCTTTTACAATTGAGATCAAGACTTCACTACAAATTAATTATCCTTTTCTGTCGTTTCATTCCTTCTCCAATAGAGCTAAATTTTTGTTCATATTTCAGCTCTCTCCAAGTGCAAAATATAAATATTCCATATTTTTTTAATTGAAAGCACCACAATTACGACGAATATTCCCATTCCTACCGGTCTTGACTCCGACACGACCCAACTTTGTGATAGCTGTGACAAAAGCGTTTTCGAAGGCCTGCTTATTATTGGCCCATGCATTCACAGTGGGCCTGGAGCTTGAGTCCTCGAAAAGGACTTGATCTGATGTGAGAAGACCCATTCGCTGTTGAAGATTCTTGAAGTAAACATTGTCGAAGGTTCTTGGAGTGTTTGGGTCTATGTTGATGGCTATGTTGGGGTCCACGTTCTTCGGACACTGGCTGCGGAGCTGGGCCAAGTATGTCTTGTTTAGGGTAGGGTCCACCGGGTTGCCGTATATCCTGCTCGAAAATCGGTTGCAGTGAGAGAATCCAACGGTGTGCGCCCCTGCAAAAACACAACGTCAACTTTTCGAACAGCTAGGATTAAGAATTTTCCTAACTTTTGTGCACGTGCAGAATAGCATGATGCTGCCTAGGAGCAAAATAAAAAGTATCCAAAACTGATGTATCTTTTATAAAAGGGAGTTATATTAAAAAAAAGATCTATTGGTAGTTCGCGTATTAAAATTATTATTTTTACATATTTTTTTTAATTTAATTTAATTTTAATTAAATTTAACGGTTAAAATTTAATATTACTAGTAGAGAGACATATTGTAAAAAGTCTCTTTTTATAAAAATATAACGATTTAAAACAGAGATATTCTGTATGATATGAAAAATGTCCAAGAAAAAAAAAATCTCAAGAATTTTGAAAAAGAATTTTGTGCATAAAAAAGTAGTTCATTGGTATTTATAATTAATTCGAGTACAACTGAAAAGACATTCAAACAGACGCTACACTAAAAGACGAGTCCCGCCACAAACATCTCATTTGGAGTATTTTTGAAGCAAAAATCGTGCAACATGCCTTAAATGAAACAGACAAGAAAAACAGATTTGCAAGTTTGGATAAAATCAATTAGAGAAGCAGATTTGATTATAACTTTATTATAATATAATGAGATGGGACCCGCATGGCATAAATATATCAAAGTTTTTACTGAATTGGTGTAATAGTAATAATGTAGGGCCGGGGGATTTAAGCTAACTTTCAATAAAATCTTGACACGTCATTTAAAAAATATTAGGTCAAGTAAAATTTCATATCATGCAATGAAATGAAAAGGACGTGGGATTTTAATGCAACGCTGGGTACAATGTGGATGTCGTATGCTAGGGGTTGTACCGGAGAGGGCAATCATGTCTGTCTGGGATAGACCATTGGCAGCAAAGAGGGAATTGAGCTGTTTCAGATTGGAGCTTGGCTGGGGAAGCTTCCCGTTTACACTGGATGATGTTGAAGTTAGTCCATCAAGTCTTCCCAATTCCACAGCGTACGAAGGTCCACCAGCCTGCATTATTATTCCACGTCACATGTATATACATATTATTTCAACCGTTATACTATGCAAACATTGTTATTGAATCATGATTAAATTGACTGGATATTAGGCGCCAGCTAGCCAATACAACTTTTTTTTTTTTTTTTTTTTTTTTGCTTAAAAAAAATATGATTCTCTTGAGCAAGATATTGAGAAGAAGATCAATGGTTGATTGTGATATGAAAAAAACAAAAAAAAAAACAAAAAAAGAAAGGAGAGAGAGAGCAGGAAGATCGAACCAGAGCGATGACGTCGCGGGTGGCCAAGGCGAGGATATCGGCGCATGAGACTTTGTTTCGGCATTTGGGATCGGCATCAACGGCCTCTTTGGCTTTAATCACAGTGTCAAACCCATCACCAGCTAATGATAGATTGTCCGAGTGGTCCTTCTCAGCCGTGTTGCCACCAGAGGACGCAACTATAACCGAAGCATCACAACCCTTGTACAACAACAATGTAATTACTTAATTAAGATTCGTTTGAATCACAATTTTCTTGCAAATACATATACATATATATATATATATATATATGTAGATTTTTCATGATATATATTTATACCTGGACAAAGCAGTCATGGAAAAAGAGACGGATGGTGGCGGGGACAGTGACAAATGTTTGTTGAAACTTCTTCTGGACAGCATTTCGAACGAGAGTTTCGACGTTGGGACAAGTATTGGCGTAGTAGTTATTTTTCAGCTGAGCCAATGTGGGATAAGGAAAGAGGCAGAAACTAAGGGAAAGAAAACAAAATGAGTACTGATACAAGATTTAACTGACCCATATTATTATTGTTGTGATATCAAAAGTTGTAATTGCTTGTAGGATAAAGGAGGCCAGTGAGTGCTAAATGATATATATATCCGTGTATATGTATGTATATATATATATATATATGTACTAATTGTGGCAGAGCTGAAGTGGTTAAAGGAATCTATATATATAATATATTGAAAGAGAAAGGTAATATCTGTCAAAGTGCCAGTTGGGGTTATGAGAATCTTTCTATAGCATATGGAAAATGACAATCTAACAGCAGTGAAGAAGAAAGTCATCAAGTATTTCTATCTAAGCATTTTTATTTTATTTTTATTTTTAAATGTGACACTGTTTGTTTTTAGCTATGTTAGTCGCCGCCTTCGTCTTATGCTTTGCTGCTCAGCTCGTCGTCCCAATATTAGACTACTAATTACTTAAAGAATGATACTTACTCCCAAAAAAAATAATAATAATAAAAAGAAAAATAAATAAGAAGAAGAGAAATTCTCATACGGGACACGTAGAGAGTAAACAGAAAAAGGAAAAGCCGTCGCTAAAATGGGCATAATCGGAAAGTGGCATGCGCGTTAAGGCTTCTTCCTGGGGCCTTCCACGCTTACTATTAGACGGTCAATATTAATATATATAAAGAGTTGGCCAATTCTTGCTACTTCCGGGGATGTTTATGAACTTTAGAAAACTTGACATGGGTATTAGAGAAATTAGGGATTTGTTGGGGTTAATTAGGTGAAAAAGAACAAGTTGAGCAATGGGGAAAAAAGAAAAAAAAAAGGAGAATATATGCTTGCAAGGCAACCTTTCTAGTCATACCTGCATATCATCACATACCAGTTGTGATATGGTCCAGCATGAAGGACAAACATACGTGCTCAGAACCACGCCTGCAAACATGTGTGCCGTGTTTGTTGACCAAAATATTAAAATGGTCCCAACTACGAGGTAGATGTGCAAACTAGTTAGTTAAGTAAGACCTCCATAATAAAAAATAAAAAATAAAATTGAATTAGTTAACAATTAACTAGATATATGGAGTAGTAGGGGAATGTATGTAGCAGTTGTGGTTTGCCTTGATTTTTATTTTATTTTATTTTATTTATTTATCTATTTATTTATTTATTTACTTATTTATTATTTTTTTTTTTTGTGGGAGGTTTTGGCTTAATTCTTAAAAGTCCAAGGACTAGACGTTCTTGCATTAGGGGGAAACGAGGGAGGGGGGAAAATGTAGAAATAACTATTAGTTAATAATTAACTAGATATATGGAGTTTGAGTAGGGGGAATGTACTCCATAATAAAAAAGAAAAATTGAATTAGTTAATAATTAACTAGATATATGGAGTTTGAGTAGGGGAATGTATGTAGCAGTTGTGATTTGCCTTGATTTTTATTTTATTTTATTTATCTATTTATTTATTATTATTATTTTTATTTATTTTTTTTTTTTTTTGCGGGAGGTTTTGGCTTAATTCTTAAAAGTCCAAGGACTAGACATTCTTGCATTAGGGGGAAACGAGGGAGGGGGGAAAAAGTAGAAATAACTATCCTATTAATCTCTCTAAGCCAAAACGGAAATAAAGAATTAATACCAAAATATGGTTTTTTAATTTTGATTATTTTATTTTATATCATTGTCGTAATTACCACAAATCATCATATTGTGCAGTGTAATGATTGTAGATAATTAGTAGAATAATATGACGCGATAGTCACACAAAAAAAATCCTAATGAACTATTCCTGAAAAAAAAAAAAAAAAAAAAAAAAACAATCGTGCTATAAAAGAATTAGCCCTTTAAAATACTTAATTAGTTATATTTACTAATCACTATAACGTTTTATATTGTTTAACGTAGTTGCCAATGGGGTGCTAAATTAATTGATGTCCCTTTGGCAACTTCCACCAACCAACATGTTTCAAACACCAAAACATTCACGAGTGTGGTAATATCTACTAGAAAAAACGATTATGTGTAAACATAAATTAATCTCGCGGCCTTTCTTTTACTCTTTGTCTTAAGAGTTCAAATCGAAACTAATATCAAATTCATATTCAACTTAAGAAGTTAATTAAGAAACCGGCTCGTTGACTAATTGTATAAACATCAACAGTCCTGGTTTCGAGAATTAAATAAGAAATAAAAAAGAAAAATAATAGATGTATCGATCTATATTTAGTCAAGATGATAATGATTGTTTATTTCCTAGGGGAATACGATTGGAATATTTACTATTATTATTATTGCTATTGGCCAGTCATATACGTAACTCGTCTACTGCTTTTGTAATTTTGTTAATGATTGATGTTTGTTTTCTGGTCTTTCATATGCTTAACAGCTAGCTAGAGTAACTCACTTGGCTAGTAGTAACTAGTAAGCTGTCACGTTTTTGTATGACGTATGGCATTTATTTATTTATTTTTCTTCATTTTTAACTTGAATTTGGATAGGTAAAGCCTAACTTCATCTATGTTTGATGAAAATTAAAAACAAAAGTTGGTAGGAAGTCCCAGTCAAACATGAAACTTTAGGCCAAAATATAGTTTTCCCTTATTTTATAATAACCATATAGATAATACAGATGGAACCTCACAGCAAACAGATTTGGATCCAACGTGGGAAGAAGGTTGACTTTTTTGTTTTTTTGTTTTTTTTTTTCAAGCTGTAAAATTTAGAATTTTACTTTGAATCCCTCATTTTTTAATGTCTTTACAGTGGAGAAAGTTATTTTGCACTATAATTAGTAGAAATTGTTGTTAGCTTAGTTTTTATTTTTTTTATTGTTTAGATCTATATACGTGTGTATAACTGCTCTAACTGTATATCAAACCGTTGAAAACTAATCTAAATAATTAAAACACAAACTAATCTACTGGTGGAGCAAAAATAACCTTCTCTACCATAAATGCACTTCAACTTTATGTTACCAACTATATATTAGAGTCATAACATAAGAGGAAAATGATGGAAGGAAGGGATGGCGCGCAACTGTGAAAAAGGTAGAGCATCATGCATGAATTCTTACCGTCTTTGCTGGGACTATAATTATGCATTAGATTAGTGCGTCCCTTTCTCATAAGAATAGAAACGAGGAAATTGTGAAAAAAAAAAATGCTAATAATTCAAGGGGCAATTTGCCTAATCATAAGGTCCACAACCATAATTTAAACGTAATTAATTACATGCAATCAAAGCCGTCATAATTGAAACATCTTTACCCCATAAAGTGATGTGCCATTTTTTTAATGTTAGTTAGATAAAATGGTTTCTTTTGTTGGTCCCATAGTTTTTGCAAGAGCCCTCTTCACTTTCTAGTATTTTACTATTTCTAATTATTTGAAGTTCAATTCAAATTGGAACTCAAATTTGAGCAAAATGCAGGTTTTGTTAAGGGCCTTTTTGGTATCCAAGACAGTGCTCACTTTTCAAACGTCTTTTTTAGATGGTTTTCAATGAGTATTTTCTTAATAATTTGTTGTAAAATCAATATAAGACGATTGTGATTGGCATTCTTAATCAAGTATATGATCATGATTGTAATTATAGATAACAACCACCTTTTAGTGATTAAGTTAGTCTCCAACAGTATTTATATGATTGCATCCCCAAAAACAAAAAGTCACAACTGTTGCTAATTATAATATAGATTCTATGGATCAAAAGAATGTTTTGCGGTACATAAACTTTGGACACTGCTTCAATGCTTTGTTCCTTCCTTTGTTTCTTTCTTTTTTTTTCTTTTTTTTTCCTCTTTGGTAACTTTAAGGAGACGTTTGGTTCATGGATTAGAATCATGAGATTAAAATCATTTTTGATTTAAGTGTATTTTTTATGAAAGAAAACACTATAGCGAACCATGAACCATGATTCGAATCAGGGTACGAATCCCCTTACCAAACACACCATAAAAGTCTCTGTGTGCCCACCAATAGAACGGTCCAAACTTAATTCTAGTTGAAACATAGGTTCAGGGTTCATTCAGTTTACTTATTTGAGTTTTTAATTCGAGTTTAGATGTAACTTTATGTGAGAATTTTTTACTATAATAAAAAATTTAGATGTGACTGTTTTTTAAAATTTTTTACTGTAACAAAACTCAAACTCTAAATTAGTAAAATGAATGGAACCTTAGTTTTTACTCATTCTACCATACACTACACGTCGCACGACACATTAGCCAGACAAGAAGCCTAAATATTATATTTGGTATAAAGGCGTTACCATTGGGCTGTCAAACACGAGTCTGATCAAGCAAAACCGAACTCCTATCCTTCTCTCGTGTATATGTGTGCGTGTATATATATACATATCTAATGCATTATATTCAATTCAAAACCTCCAAGTAAAAATTCTGTTCCATTTACTTATCTAGCTAATTCATGTCCAACTCTACTTAATTATCGAAGCCATATATCGTATAAAAAATCGAGATATTGCTAATTGTATATCTTTCTCCTCTAAATTAAAGTTTTGACGCATGACATGGATGACATTCGTATACGTTACCTTCATTAAAAGAAGATTTCTGTCCAAAAATCTCGTTCTTTTTATTTATTTGAGTTTAGAATTCGAGTTTTGCTACAGTAAAAAGCTCTCAGAAACAGTCACATCTAACTTTTTTGCTACAGTAAAAAATTTTTACACAACATCACATCTCAACTCGAATTAAAAACTCGAATTAGCGAACCGAACGGCCCAACTTGGGCCCAGATTGGATAGGAATTAAGAACTCAGGGTGATTTTTCTGAATGTATAATATGGGTGGGCCACGCTTTAGTTTTCGCATTTCACAAATGTAGAATGTTTTCGAGTGCTCACTTAACACCAAACATGATACTGGAAATGCATAAGCTATATATGAATCACGAGAACGAAAAATGTGTGGCCCAGCCAAGCACCAATATAAAAACAAGAGGATAAATAATAATAATAAAATAAAAATACACAAAAAAATAGAGAATTTAAGTGTATGAGTTTGGACATTTACCTCTTATTCTTGATAAATATTCTTTTGTTAGTGTAATTATTTAATTAAAAAAATTATTAATAAAAAATAAAAGATAAAAATCTTAAAACTACCAATACAAATAGGTATTTAAAGAGGTATCTGTCAAAATTAGACTCAATACAAAGATATACGGAGATGGTAGACAAATGAGTCCACATTCGCAGCAAGGCCATCGTTAGTGTCCAAACGCATGATAATGCTACAAGCCTAAATTCTCATATTGTCCCATAATATCTAGTTTACGTAAATATAATTTATGTAGTAAAAAATTTTTATTTATGGGGAAAAAATCTTTTTAACAATTAAAAAAAGAAAATTTATGTGAAAAAAAATTATTTTACTAATTGTAAATAAAATATTAATACGAGTAAATTGTTATTTACTTTAGATAGATTTAAAATCTACCATTTTTCTAATTTAGTTTCATATTTACTATTTACTACATTATCCGAATTTAGTTTCAAGATTTTAAGTGTGTATTTTACATCTTTTAAATACATGTCTTTTATTTTGTTTACGTTTCGCCACGTCTTAGTTGGAAAAACGAAGTATCATTTGGCATAACCTGACGACTACATTAAATTTGAAAGGTGTCCAGATTTTTGTTCTTGAAGGGAAAACGACGTAAACTAAACCGCACGAGGTATTTCCAACATCTTTACGAACATTATGACCCTTTTCGCTTCATAAGTTTAAATGGTGTGGGTTTGAAGTTATATATAACCTTTTTATAATTTAAATTGGCATTTAGTAATGTGAAGTCTAACATAGGACTTTAGTTAGTAATTTATTGGCATTGGTTGTAAAAAATTCAAAAGCAAATATTTTTGACAATTGGCGTTTATAAAAGAGATTTGAAGAGATTTAATTACTTGTGAAATCATGAA